AACCACTGGCCAGTGACGTTGCCGTTTGACGACCGCAAGCATGTGTCCTTCTCCTGCATTTCTTGTGGCCTCGTTCACAGCAGCAACTTCAATCTTTTGCTTGCTTTACTTAAAACAAGCAGGCAACGGTGTTGACACCATAAGAATTTTAGGGTCTAGCGACGGTACCAATTTCAATTTTTTACTTTTGTAATTAAAACAAGCAGACAACGGTGTTGACATCATAGGAATTTTAGGGTTTAACGACAGCAACCCACAGCACTACCCGCAGGAGCTGAGGCTGCGGTCACGCCATCGCTTTACGACAGCTAGCAGAGCTGTTACATCAAGTTTCTTTGCGATGACCGTTCGGCCACTGGCCAGTGACCTTGGCGTCCGACAGGAGCAATCATAGGTCTTTTCCCTTCATTTCATGTGTCCTCGTTCACATAGCAGAAGCCACCGCAAAAGATTTTTTAAATTGATTTACTTAAAACAAGCAAGCAACGGTGTTGACACCATAGGAATTTTAAGGTTTAGCCACAGTACCCACTTAATTTTTTTACTTGCTTTACTTAAAACAAGCAAGCAACGGTGTTGACACCGTAAGAATTTTAGGGTTTAGCGACAGCAGCAACTTCGATTTTTTACTTGCTTTATTTAAAACGAGCAAGCAACGGTGTTGACACCATGGGAATTTTAAGGTTTAGCGACAGCAGCGACTTGAATTCTTTACCTGCTTAGCAAGCAACGATGTTGACACCATAGAAAATTCAGCTTCAAGATGATGAAAGGTCTTATAAGAAACAGGCACTACCCACAGCAGCTGAGGCTGCGGTCACGCCATCGCTTTACGACAGCTAGCAAAGCTGTTACATCAAGTTTCTTTGCGATGACTGTTCAGCCACTGGCCAGTGACGTTGCCGTTTGACGACCGCAAGCATGTGTCCTTGTCCTGCATTTGTTGTGGCCTCGTTCACAGCAGCAACTTCAATCTTTTGCTTGCTGTACTTAAAACAAGCAGGCAACGGTGTTGACACCATAAGAATTTTAGGGTTTAGCGACGGCAGCAATTTCAATTTCTTACTTGCTGTAATTAAAACAAGCAGACAACGGTGTTGACATCATAGGAATTTTAGGGTTTAACGACAGCAACCCACAGCACTACCCACAGCAGCTGAGGCTGCGGTTATGCCATCGCTTTACGAAGGCTAGCAGAGCTGTTACATCAAGTTTCTTTGCGATGACCGTTGAGCCACTGGCCAGTGACCTTGGCGTCCGACAGGAGCAATCATAGGTCTTTTCCCTTGATTTTATGTGTCCGTTCACATAGCAGAAGCCACGGCAAAAGATTTCTTGAATTGATTTACTTAAAACAAGCAAACAACGGTGTTGACACCATAGGAATTTTAAGGTTTAGCCACAGTACCCACTTAATTTTTTTACTTGCTTTACTTCAAACAAGCAAGCAACGGTGTTGACACCGTAAGAATTTTAGGGTTTCGCGACAGCAGCAACTTCGATTTTTTACGTGCTTTACTTGAAACGAGCAAGCAACGGTGTTGACACCATGGGAATTTTAAGGTTTAGCGACAGCAGCAATTTCAATTCTTTACCTGCTTAGCAAGCAACGATGTTGACACCATAGAAAATTTAGGTTTTAGCGACAGCTTTAAGATGATGCAAGGTCTTATAAGAAACAAGCACTACCCACAGCAGCTGAGGCTGCGGTCACGCCATCGCTTTACGACAGCTAGCAGAGCTGTTACATCAAGTTTCTTTGCGATGACCGTTCAGCCACTGGCCAGTGACGTTGCCGTTTGACGACCGCAAGCATGTGTCCTGTCCTGCATTTGTTGTGGCCTCGTTCACAGCAGGAACTTCAATCTTTTCCTTGCTTTACTTAAAACAAGCAGGCAACGGTGTTGACGCCATAAGAATTTTAGGGTTTAGCGACGGTAGCAACTTTAATTTTTTACTTGCTGTACTTAAAACAAGCAGGCAACGGTGTTGATATCATAGGAATTTTAGGGTTTAACGACAGCAACCCACCTACACCAAACTCACCCTGCGGACAGAATGCTGTCGAGGCAGGCCGAACAACAACATTCTCGTGCTGGCCTTCCACTGGGCAGTTAAAGGAGGCATGATTGCTATCGTAAAGCGATGGCGTGACCGCAGCTTCAGCTGGTTCGGGCGATGCGTTATTTCTGAACCAGCTCTCTTGAGATGCTTGCCGCCAGAAACAATTTTTTAAGGTTTGGCGTGTTTTAAGAGGTCACAACTTTTCTAGAGTTTAACGACTGTAAGGAAACAGCACTGTGGCCTGCTTGATTGTTTCAATGCTTACGAACTGTAATAGATTCGTTGAGGTGTATGTAAATTAGTTGTTAAAAGTTCAAGCCGAAAGAAATAAAACCTTTAAATCTAATGTGAGGGGATTCTCTGGGCGGGTGGGGTTTCTTCTAGAAGATAGCTTGACTAGAAATAGCTTGACCTTAAATCTTCAAAGTCAGAGCTGCTGAACCCTAAACCCTAAACCCTAAACCCTAAACCCTAAACCCTAAACCCTAAACCCTAAACCCTAAACCCCTAAACCCTAAACTAGGGGCGCTCGCCGTCGGGCCTTATGGCCCGACGCAGCGACCCCCATGCCTAAGCAGGAAGAGGGCATCGCACATACAGTACGCCTGTACAGCAGTTAAACTGTGCCATCAAGCTTTCTGTTGTGCCATCACCAAGCAGTGGGTCTATACGACAGTACTGTCTGTATACTATATATATAAATATGGTATCCCCTAAGCCCTGCGCGCGCGACCCTCGAAACTCTGTTGTATAGCGTTTAGAGGCTCTAAACTCTATACGTATAGCGTTTGGGAACAGAGTTTGGGAGGTCATGATAGTTTAGGCAGATAGTTTCGCGACCAGTTCGGAAACTCTATATATAGAGTTTGGGAACATTTGGGCGCCTAAACTCTAAAGTATAGCGTTTGGAGAGGTCGTATAGAGTTTGGGGTATAGCGTTTAGAGCTAAAGTGTAGACGTATAGAGTTTCAACGTATAGAGTTTCGCGTATAGCGTTTCGTGTTTAGAGTTTGGCCGTATAGAGTTTCGGTGTATAGGGTTTCGCGTATAGAGTTTCGGTGTATAGGGTTTCGCGTATAGCGTTTCGCGTATACAGTTTAGCCGAGCCGATTCTCAGGATTTGTTGGGGTTTTTTTTTGTACAAATTCTCTTCATAAAAGTGCTTGTTTTATTGAGGCTAGCGCCGATTTCCGGATATAGCCCATTTGGGGTGTCCAAACTCTATACGTATACGACGTTTAGAGTTTCGCGTATAGCGTTTCGCGTATAGGGTTTGGTTGTATATAGTTTCGCGTATAGCGTTTCGCGTATACAGTTTCGACGAGCCGATTCTCAGGATTTGGGGGTTTTTTTTTTGTATAAATTCTCTTCATAAAAGTGCTTGTTTTATTGAGGCTAGCGCCGATTTCCGGATATAGCCCATTTGGGGTGTCCAAACTCTATACGTATACGACGTTTAGAGTTTCGTGTATAGCGTTTCGCGTATAGAGTTTCGGTGTATAGGGTTTCGCGTATAGCGTTTCGCGTATACAGTTTAGCCGAGCCGATTCTCAGGATTTGGTGGTGGTTTTTTTTGTATAAATTCTCTTCATAAATGTGCTTGTTTTATTGAGGCTAGCGCCGATTTCCGGATATAGCCCATTTGGGGCGTCCAATCTCTATACGTCTACGACGTTTAGAGTTTCGTGTATAGCGTTTCGCATATAGAGTTTTGCCGTATATAGTTTCGCGTATAGCGTTTCGTGTATAGAGTTTCGCGTATAGCGTTTCGCGTTTAGAGTTTGGCCGTATATCGTTTCGCGTATAGCGTTTCGCGTATAGAGTTTCGGTGTATAGCGTTTCGCGTATAGAGTTTCGGTGTATAGGGTTTCGCGTATAGCGTTTCGCGTATACAGTTTAGCCGAGCCGATTCTCAGGATTTGTTGGGGTTTTTTTTTGTACAAATTCTCTTCATAAAAGTGCTTGTTTTATTGAGGCTAGCGCCGATTTCCGGATATAGCCCATTTGGGGTGTCCAAACTCTATACGTATACGACGTTTAGAGTTTCGTGTATAGCGTTTCGCGTATAAAGTTTGGCCGTATATAGTTTCGCGTATAGCGTTTCGCGTATAGAGTTTCGCGTATAGCGTTTCGCGTTTAGAGTTTGGTCGTATATAGTTTCGCGTATAGCGTTTCGTGTATAGAGTTTCGGTGTATAGGGTTTCGCGTATAGTGTTTGGCCGTATATAGTTTCGCGTCTAGCGTTTCGTGTATACAGTTTAGCCGAGCCGATTCGCAGGATTTGGGAGTGGTTTTTTTTGCACAAAGTCTCTTAATAAAAGTGCTTGTAGTATTAGTACTAGTACTACTACTACTCTTACTATTGCTGGTACTACTAGTATTACTACTACTACTACTGCTACTACTGGCTCCTCTGTCTGAGGGCAGGTTTGCTACTACTAGTACTACTACTATCTACGACTACTGCTACTAGTACTACGATTACTACTACTACTACTACTACTACTACTACTACTACTACTAGTATTTCGCGTATGAATTCTATGGACAAGACTCAGGTTTCTATTTCTCGAAGTGGATCCACGACATGGCTGGTGGCCGGCGACTCAAGCGCTGCTTCGGTGCTTGCACTCGTTTCCACCCGATGTGGCACAGGAATGAACTTTGTGTCGGCGACATACAGCTGGTTGCGGAAGTCGACAAAAAGATTGCCGGCGAAACGATGCACTTCGGCATGTGGTGTACTTTGCCTTCGTGCGGTCTTGCGTAATGTAGTTCTCTGATCAGGGGTGACGGGCAGCGTCGCTTGCGAGCATCAGCTTGCAAGGTTTGATTTGCACTAGAATCAGCATCGGCTTGCAAGGTTTGGTTTGCACTAGAATCTCCTTCCCTGACGCGGCAGCTCCTTTCCAGTTCGAATCTAGGCTCCTTCCAAGATGTTCCTGCAGCCGCGTGCGAAGGCGGTGCCCAGACCCTCGGCTCTCGTGGGCCCTCGCTCGCTGGAAGTGCCGTGGCCGAGCAAGCTATGTGCTGCTCGTAGGTCCGTTCCAACCCCCTTGGAACTCTTCGAGCGGCTGGCAGACAAGCTGGGGGTGCCGACAGGGCTGCGCTACGGCCGCTATCTTCTGGCATGTTATTGGGCGATGCCAACCGGGAAGTGCAACCCAGAAGCCGTCGACTGGTCCGACTTGGTGGCTCTTGCTCTAGTCGTAGAGCATGCTCCGGTCGATACGGATGATGTGAAGCGATGCCTACTTCTAACTGAAGAGCGTCTGGTGTATCATTGGGACGTCAAGAAGATTGGCCGCATCATACACGCCTGGTCCATTTACCGTAGGGCTACCTAAGTGACGTGCAACTGGCCGAAGAGTGCAGAGGTCGGTGCGCTGGAAAACAAGGGAACCGTCTGTGCAGCCGGGTTCTTGTTGTGTATTCACGCGAACATCCGTGGTAGTAGTACTAGTATTACTGCTATTAGCACTAGTATTACTACTACTACTACTACTACTACTACTACTACTACTGCTACTACTACTACTACTACTACTACTACTACGAGTACTACTACTACCACTACTGCTACTACTACTACTACTACTACTACTACTACTACTACTACTACTACTACTACTACTACTACTACTACTACTTGTAGTACTACTACTACTGCTGCTGCTCGCACCACTACTGCTGCTACTATGCCTCCGTTTACTACGACTATTATCTGTACTATGACTATAACTACTACTCATGTCGCGCTGGCATTCTTTTATTATCTTACCGCCACTACTACTGCCCGGTTATCTACAGCGCGGGTTTTGTACCTTCCTATACCTCTCTCGTTTATTTCGTGTCGCTCAAGCGCTTCCGGGGTCGAACATCCGTATGTGCATGGGATTCATATACAAACCACCATGAACGTCAGTGTGTCGTCGACACGCGGCACGAAGCATCCGATACGCCGTCCATCGGTGAGCATGCGGCTCGTAAGCAACAGCTTTAGCTAGCTTTGAGTTCTCGCACGTAGTTGGAGGCCGAAGTGCATTGAGCTGTGTGCTCCTCGAGCGGTGCCCTTTGACAGGTCTGTTTGGCACGTCCGTTGCGACATGGCTTTGGTGCAGGTGCTGTTTCGACAGGGATGTACATGATTCTTGTACAGATTTTCCCATCTTGTCAGCCTTGGCGACTTGGACATGCCAACGTGCACATCGTCCGATGCCCGGATGCGCTGTGCAAAGCGAGGTCACGGCGTTGGCTCGACCCTGCGAGTTCATGCCGCGAACGCCCGATAAGGGCAATCCGCGTCGTCACGGGCCTCATGACCGCGGCGGTGCTCGTCGTCGACGGCAAGGGCGCCAGGCTGCGATGGTATGCCAAAGGTAGGTTACTATGCTCCGAAAAAGGACTCCCGCGCCTGGCACGAGGGCATCGAAACCGACGACGAGGCCGTTCTTTTGCATGCACACTCTTGCAGCAATTCGCTGCTCAGGTTCGTGCTGTGGGGGGCATACACCCTGCCTTCCGCGTCCTTCTCTGGCATGCAGCGTCTGGGCCTGGCTGGGCCGAAGCAGTTTCTCGCAGGACCATCCGCCACGCCTTGTGGTCATGCTCCATTCCGGGTTCGTGCTAGTCCATGGCACGGAGGCTCGATGAGGCACATGGGAGAAAGTGGCTCCTTGCATCGCGCAGGGCATCCGCTTGCACTACATTCTTTCCGGATTCTACCTCCTGCCGGCACGTGAGATGGGGGCGAAGTTACATGCGTGTTGAGAATGCGCTTGAGCTGGAACCGTCACTGGCTCGTCATGTCTCTTTCTCTGTCTGTCAGGCCGCGCTGCATTTCTACTGCATCGATGCTTCTCCTATGCTGCCGACGGGCGTGGGCGCCTCGCCCTTGCGATGTGGTTTCAGATGTAATCCTCTGTCAGGTCCGTTTGGTAACTCACCGAGTCGTTCATCGGATCTGAGCATTCGAAGGCGTGTTGTCGTGACTCGCGGTTGTTGTGTGTTCATGTATGACGTGGACAGCTCGCGTTCTAGGGATGGCACAGCCCTGAGCGAGAAGTCAGATTGCTTGCAAAAGTTCGTCGATCGCATGCATGGTTTCGAGCCGTCAGTCGTGCGTCGGCCAGTTGAGATGGTGCTCGCATGCTGCGTTCGGCTCAGCACTTGTGCCTGCCGATTTCCTTCACCGAGAGGCTGGACTGGTGTCTTTTCTGCTTGCACGATCGGCTCTTGCCTACAACTTTCTTTCCGCCAGAACAGCACTAGGCTCGAAACCATCGCCTTCCTGGTACTTCTGCTTCCTCGCGATGTGGGCCAATGGCAGCGGCGGCAACAAGGGTCGTGGGAAGGCCTACGGCAAAAGCAAGGCGTCCAAGGGCTGGGCTACTTCGAGCTGGGACAACACGAACGCTTGGGATGGCGCTGGCAAGGGCAAAGGCAGCGATTGGAATTCTGCCGCCGACTGGGGCCAGACTTGGGGCGAGGACAAAGGACAGCAGAAGGGGAAGGGACAGCCCCGTGACTACATGACTCGGTTGGAAGGTCGCTATGCCTTCGCGAAATCTGTGCTGAGGCCGTATGCAGACGAACATGGCGGCGCCCTGTATGCCGGCACCGCCGGAGCCTCTGCTGCCAATGTGCTCGGTAAGGACAACCTCCGCCAGATCTTGGATTCGCGCAATTCCGAGCTGATCAGACGCCCCGCCGTGGGCATGTCCACGATTGCGGGCACCATGAAAGGCTTCAAGAGCACACTGGATGTCTGCACGCAGAACGATCATCTGGCTGCGTGCCTGAAGGACCTCGATCGAGTGTTGCAGGGCCGAAAGGGGCGCTCTTTCTTGGAAGCCTGCGAGACGCTAACCAAGGAACGCTCGGGAAGCGTTCCACAGGATAAAGTCGCAGAAGCGGTGCAATGCTGGATTGCTTTTTTCCGAGAGCACAAGACACAGCTCACGACGTTGCTGCCCAAGTTGGCGACGAGTGCAAGTGTTTTATATCTCGGCTGCATGCAGGGTCTGGAGGCCGCGACCATGTGCAACGCCCTCACCAACTGGGCGCAGAAGGTGCCCATGACCACCGGAAACCAGGAGTCGCTTGGGCACTGGCAGACCGCGCCCAAAGACGTGGAACGTCTCAAAGCGTTCATGACCGCGGCCCTGCAGCAGCGCCATACAGAGGGTGCCGCTTGGCTGCGCCAGAACGGCATGGGTGGAGATTCCGACGAGGAGGCAGCGACTTGGGGTGTGCCGGACACCGGCAAAGCCCATGCTCGCTCGAGCAGCTCCGGCACCACAGATTCCGCTGCACGTCGCAAGAAGAAAGCTGCCAAGAAAGAAAAGAAGCGTGCAAAGGAGGATGCCAAGAGGAGCAAGGCAGCTGCCGCCGCCGAGTCCGGCCCGAAGGCTGACGTCAAGGAGAGTTCCAAGAAGAAGTCCGAGCGGGCCGAGCTGTCCTGTGTCGAGGAGGAAGAAGCGCATGGGGAGGAGCGTGAGACCGCGGAGGAGGAAGCTGGCGAGGGCATGGATGATGAGTCTTAGGGTCCTGAATCCGAGACGTGAGTTCACCGAGGGTGGCATCGACACGGAGCGGACGTAGTCCCCGTGTCTGGGTGGCGAATGCCTTGGACGCTGTGTGTAGAACATCGGACAACAGACTGCTGCCTGCATTTACTCCTTTTCTGTGTCAAGCATGCTGTCCATCGCTTGTTGCCTTTTGTAAAATACCCGTCCGGTAATGACCTTGCAGGCAACATGGTCCTCTTGCTGGTTCAAATGGCCGTTTATACGATTCTCGTGTTTTGGCCTCGGTTAGTATGATGTTCTCGTCATATCTTGCGCTTCCAGCTCGAGGTCTGCCGTGAAAGACACGCAACCGGATCCATCCGACTCTTCGTCGGCGACTCGATTTTCATTCGTAGCGAACGCTGCATTTGTGGATTTCAGGGGACCGCTTGCAGATGTCAGGTCTTCTTCCACATCGACGTCTTCGTCCGACTCCTCGCGTGGCCAGCGCCCACCTAAGCTGCCTCGAGGACGTCACTTCTGGGTACTCCCGGGGGGCAGACTTTAGTCCCTAGTTCATATCCCACGAGTGGCCGACCTCGCAGCCTGGAACTCGGACTCTAACCTAGAATATTGCCTTCAGCTCGAGGCCTGTTTGCATCTTTTTACATGTCTGTGATCTCTATTTGTGATGACGCGGCGTGAATCCTCTTCGGCCGAGGCGACACCATGTCCTACGTCGAACTGGTCGGGGTCCAGACAAGCCTAGTCTTCGCCCTCGCACAGCTTGCATTCTGAGGTCATCGCCGACGCCTGCGCCATGGCTAACGACAGGCAGAGCCCGCAGGAGATCCTCGCCCAGGCCCGGGGCTCGGTCGGTAAACCGTCATCCGGACAAGCGACTTGCATCTGTATAGCGACATGTGATAGGAGAGAGCTAATTTGCATACGTGCCGAGTTGCAGCGGCGCCACGGTGCCCTCGCGCACTGCGCCGCGGCGAAGGCCGAACACACGTCGCGACCGCCGTACGTATGAGCTTGCCATGCACTCGATGATAGCGAATAGTGACGATGCCGCAGGAGTTCTTCCGCATGATCCGGGGCGAGGGCCTCTTCCGGCGCATCGACTTGATCGAGCGTCGACACGATGCCGAGATGGCACTGGGTGCGGGCCCGGCATTCTTCGCGACTCGCATCTCAGCGATTGGAGCGACCCAACTCTACAGGTCTGCTCTGGCGCGGCGCCCGCAGCCTGCAAGACTGCTGCCGGGCTAAAGGCGAGACTTGCATCGAACGACGAGCTGAATCGCACCGTCCTGCGGCGCAGGTGACATGGACGTCACCGTCTGCGAGCACATCGCAGAGAATCCCCAGGCCAGCCGACCGATCAGGATCGTTTCGACTCGTCGATGGCATCGCAAAGCTACTCGCGGAGTCGCTGGATCGATCGCATCCATCTTCCAGGCATCTCCGTGGCTGTCCTACACCTCGGAGTGCCTGGTGGCTCTGTGGTTCTCGCTGGGGAAGGCTCGGGCTTATTCATGCGCTTCGCGCTACCGGACTGGGGGTCTTGCGAGGCCAAGGTCGGCGACATACGGGTCCTAGCCGCCGTGGACCCGACGGAGGTGGCAACCTTCACCCTGGAGGAGGTCGGGTTAGCGTGTTTGCGAGTCAATCACACACGACTGGACGCCTGCAGGACGCCGATCTCCGCAGCACGGGCGGGCGACGGAATGCGTCAGGACAACAGCTGAGCAAGGCCTCGCCCCCCTCCTGTGGAGCGGAGTCTGAGAGAGGAAGCCACACGAACGAAGCCTAGGAGACAGACTATAGACGCA